GCTTGATGATGAACTTTATAGTTCTGAGAGCTCGTTTGGCTTGCTTGAATCTGTGTTGCCTTGAATGCTTATGTACTGAGTTGCCTTGAATGCTTGTGTACTGAGTTGCCTTGAATTCTATTGAACCCTATGATGAGCCCAGCTCTGAGGGCTTTGTAATTTTGAATATTGTTCTGATTTTGAGTTGTGAATCTGAACATGTGTTGAAATGTTGAGGTTGGTCTTGGGATTAGAGTTTGGTTGGAACTGGTTTGGATGAAGGCTTATGCAGGTTGATGGTTTAGACAGGTTTAGGCTTTAGGCTTGTGTTCTTGAAAGGCTTTTTGTTTGTTTAAGCTTGACACAGGTAAGGCTTTGTGCTATTTCTGGCATGAGGTACTGGTTTGGTTGTTTGTTGATACAGTTTATATATTTAAGGCTATGGCTTCATGTTTGGTTTAAGGCTTATGCAGGTTGGGTTTAAAGCAGGTTTATGTTACAGTAGGCCTTAGGCTTGACAGGTTGAAAGGCTTGGACAGGTTGTTTGGTATGGCTTTGATGCAGGTTAGGCTTGAAGCATTAACCGGTTTGCAAGACTTTGTATGGCTTGGAGCTTTGAGGCTCGGCCTGTTTTGATACAGTTTGGAGGCTGGACAGGTTATGTGTTTTTCTTTGTGTTGGAGGCAGGACTGTGTTTTTGTTACAGTTTGTAGCTTTTCTATTTTTGTGATATCTCTGCCCCCTTTGTACTGTGTCATGGCATCTTGTTTTATATCTTTTGTCAAGCCTAAGCCTGTAAGCCTTTGCTTCCTTTTTCTCTTCTCTCTCTCTCTCTTGACAGATTTAAGCATTTTTTATTGCTTATGATGTACTATTCTGAAAAAGCACTGGCTTGGGAAATGATGAGAATTTAAACATTGCTTGCATACTAGTTTTCCTCTGCATACTTCTTATCTCCTTTTTCCAGATTTTCTGCTTCTTTGTGTACTTCTTTGACAGTTTTGAATAGCCTTTTGATAGCTTGGTACCTTTGACAGTTTTGGACAGTTTGCTGTCCAGTTTGGACTTTGGGTTAGGCATGTGTAGTTCAGTTTGCCTTTGGACTTTGGTTGGAATTTTTGGAATTATGCAGCTTTTGACAAACTTTAAATTTGTGCAATATTGTAATTTTGTGCATTTCATACTTTTTGCAAGCATTTTTATCCCTCTTTGTGAACCGAGAGTAATCTCGTGATTTGCAGAGAGGGCAAACTGATTCCGGCCAGTTACTTTTAATGATGAATTTTAACTGTATGCTTTTGATTTATTTCATCTGCTTTTGACTTTTTCTTTTTCTTTGTTTTGCAGATAAAAATCAATGGAGCAAAAGAGGAGTAGCAGTAGAAGAATGAAGATTTAGGAAATTAGGATGCAATTTTATTTTCCTTTTAATCATTGTAACATTATTATTGTAAATACTTTGTAAATAATTACTGTATTTAAATAACAATTGTACAAATAATTAAAGATAAATAAAAAGTCTTTTTATCAGTTAATTCCTTTTCTTCTTCAACTGTTTATTTAATTGTTTATAATTCTTAAATTATAATAAAATGGAAATAAATCCCAATTATTCTAACTTAGAATAAATAAACAATTGATAAACATTGTGGTCTTAGCATCAATCAATAATAAACCCGGCGCTCCAATTATCCAAAGCAATGCACAGTTAATCAAACAAAACGTCCACATGCCTTTTCTTTTAATGATTCAATCAAACACTGCAATCTCTCAATCAGAAACCTCAGTCCATATTCCAGAGTAAATTGAAAATCATTGTAGAATTAATTCTTTCTGCGCGCACAAACCCTAGTTCTTGATTAAATGTCAAAGAAGCGTCCTCCTGATCAAAACCTGAGCCAACTCAAACAAACCCTAGCAATCTGCCGGAACTGCTTCAAAAGTTAATGGAAACCCTAATTGGATAGACTGATAAGAAAAAGTATGTTTGACTGATTCTTACGCCAATCTGAAAAAATCAGCAAAAGCCCGAAGCTGTGATTTCTTGTGGAAAAATAGGAGGGCAAATTTTGGGGTACAACACATGACTACTGTTTTATTGGAAGTTTTATTTATTTCATAATTGTGACATCCCTTGTTCCGTGTTAACTCTGATGGAATATGTCTTTAATCATTGATATAATTAATATTATTCGGGGTGTTTTAGAAGGGGTGTTACACCAAACGCGCTAGTTAGAAACAAAAAGAAGTGAAAATGTTAGAGAAAACATAAAAATGGCAGCGCTGGGGCTCGAACCCACGCCCTCATCAATATACGCGTGTTGTCTTACCACTGGGGTGGCTATACGTTTGGTATATGAAACAAAACCATCACAACATATTGCAAAACAAGTCCATGGCCTGAACTTCATCTTCCTCGCGCGCGTTTTTACAGTAAGAACAACAACAAATTTTGAATTTTGTAACTCAGCAATTTCTCAACCATTCTTAAAACTTCAAACATCAAACTTGTTAGAAATTTCACCATGATTCTGAATATGTAAATAACTTAAACTAATTCTCAAAGATGAGCATGAATTTCTATTGGTACCAAACCTAACCTAATATTTTCAGAAACTTCAACTTCAAAATTCTCTCTACTCAATCAATATAAATGAAAACTATGGACATGGGCAGTTTCAAGACAATGATATCTATATTTTATCTTTGAAAATGCAAGCCTAACAATGCCTAAATAAAGAGATGAAAGTTCAGAAAATTACCTCCAAAATTGGAAATTGTGGAATGAGTTTGAGCTTATTTCAAGTGATGGTGATGATTAGATTAGCTTCCTCAAGTTACCAAGAAGCTAATGCAACCCCTACTTGGTGCTGGAAGTGCTTGAGTCGTGCTAGAGAAGTCAAGATGCAAGCTCTGTTTTTTGGTTATGGAAGTTAATGAAGATGGTGTTACATTTGGATAACAAGTGTTGGGATTGTTTATGTATGATGTTTAGAAGCTTTTGGAAGCAAAAAGCCAAGAAACGCATGAATGGTTTTTGATTTTGGGATTTCTGGCCAGAATATGCAACAATAGACTTCTGTTATGCAATTCTGACTTTGGGGGTGTTAGAGGGCTTGTGCATTCGTGTGTTAGGTTGCAATATGTGTATGTATTTATAGGCAAGAAGTTTTATGTGCTACAACAAGCCAGAATTTGAAATCACATGTTATTGCACTCTTACTTGTTTTTAAAGCAAGCATGACAAACATCTTTCCAAAGCTTGTACCATACTATTGTAGAGTGGTTAACACTTTAAACATGGATGTTCTTATTTGTAGATGTTGAGTTTGAGCAGAACAACAAGTGAGAGGCTCAAGACAAGTTGACTTTGTGATTAAAATCACTTTTCAAGAATGGATATGTTGCTTTCTTCCAAAAATGGCAAATTAGTTTAGACAAAGCTTGAAACACTTGGATAAGGGAACAAGTTTGAGGCTTTCAAAGTGAAGATTATGCAGCATGGCTATGGATTTGGTCAATGTTCATCACAAAATCTGTCTTGTAATTCAAGAATGAAACCCTAACTTCATGGATTCGATTCTCTTAGCTCAAACATGATATCAATGAGTTCATGGACATTTTAGAAAGCTTGAAACATCCTATACAACTTCTCTTTTGATCATTTTTGCAAAATAAAAATGGAACTATGTGAAACTTGGCCAAGAAGTTAGGTCAAAAATCTGCCTAAACTAGGTTAAATTTCACTAAGTGTTTTTGTTTCATGTACATGTCTTTATGAATTTATAACTCAAAATCAAAGCATTTCTAGAATTTTATTTATGAAAAAAATTGTAGATTTTATCAAGATATACAACTTTCATGTTGGAATTTTTTTTTGAATCATTTTGCATCATGGTGAAAATTTAGCACAAAGTCATGAAAAAAAGTAAATTTTCCAACACTTGGAAAAATTTCTAAGTCTTCGAAATTTTGACTTTTCAAAGTGAATTTTGACTTTTTGATTTCTTGATGAAAAATATTCATATTTTGACATGTCTTGATGAAATATGATTTTTGAAACTTGATTTTGATCAAAAAAGTCAAAGTTTGACTTTTCAATATACAGTTGACTTTTTTATTAGTTGACCAAATTTCCATTATCAATCAATTGATCTTGAGAAGTATTTTGAACCATGTCATTAGGTCAATATGATGCATTTGAACCCTTGATATCATGCCTCAACCCAATAAGTCATGTATTTGGTCAAAAGTCAAAAATCAAGCCTTCTCAGTCAAAACCCTAGTTTTGACCATTTTGCCCTTTTGGTGATTTGATTAAATTTCTTGAGAAATTGTAATCCAAACTTGACCAAATGGTTCATATGAGTTCAAAATGTTGATATGGATCAAAAATCATGAAATTTGACTGTAAGTTGACCACAATTGACTTTTTACCCAATACAACTCATTTTAGGTCATATGATCAATTGGCTGAGCAAACTTATGATCTGAGGCTTGAAACTTGACATGAGCAATCTTGAGAGTCCATATTGATCCATGAAAGTCATATGAGGCATTAAAAGTCCAATTGTCCTTGTACAAACTCAAACCCTAATTTGAGTCATCAACGTTGAGGAAGTGTCTTGAACTGATCAATCCTGGTGCAATCTTGAGCAATTGAAGATCTTATGAGGAGAAACTTTGAGAAAATGAGAGGACAAATTTTAGAGTATAACAGATCAAACTGAAAACTTAAATTAAGTTATGGAACTTCGGGACCAAATAAATCTAATTCATACTATATTATCTTCAAATATAAGTTTCATTTAATTTATTAAAAATTAATATATGTATTAATTACCTTCTTTAAAAAATACTTCTAAAGAATTTGTAATATTTTTGAGTTACTATTTTTATTATAAAAAAAAACTAAGATATGGATGTGTCATAGTATCAATAATAAGGTTATATATATGTGGTTTAAAACTACTTCAACCCAAGCACGAATGTTTTAATTTAATTCCTTCTCAAAATAATCAATGAAGGAAACAATAAGGTACTTGGCAGGAATTGCAGGGCCAAGTGGTTTTGGCTCAAATTCAACTGCAGAGCAAGTCACTCAACAATATTCCTCTTCAAATAATCTAACTGCTCTAATCACTGGTAATTTAATAACTATATACTTTTAATTAACTATATTTGATTAGTTTAGTTAATGAAATTTATTTATTTGTTTTGGAAATTTGAATTGAAGGTGCTACTTCTGGTATTGGAGGTGAAACAGCTAGGGTGTTAGCAAAAAGAGGAGTGAGAGTTGTAGTAGGTGCCAGAGACATGAAAAAAGCTATCAAAGTCAGAGAGAAAATTAAAGAGGAGAGTCCTTATGCTGAGATTATTCTATTGGAAATTGATCTTAGCTCTCTTGCTTCTGTGCAGAGATTTTGTTCAGAATTTTTATCTTTAGAATTGCCTCTTAATATTCTCATGTAAGTTTTTTTTATTCGAAAATCCTCCTTGTCATCATTATTTATGCTTGATTCATGAATTAGGCAAAGAAAAACTGAGATCAGATTTTAAATAACAGTCACAACTTACGATAAGAATAACGATCGCAGTCGGATCACGATCACCGTTGCGGCATTTATTTAAAACTTTGATCGTCTTAATTCATGTTTTTTTAATATTTGAATTTAAAAAATTGTTTTTGCAGAAACAATGCTGGTGTTTACTCTCATAACCTGGAAGTCTCCGAAGAGAAAATTGAAAAGACATTTGCTACAAATTACTTAGGTATTTCTTTCTTAAAACAATGTTAAATCTTTGATGACAACGTCAACATAATCTGAATGTCGCACACTCTTTGATTTGTAGCCCTTAACAAAAGACAAAAATGAATTAACAAATAAAAAAACGTAAAGTTAATCTCAAACAGAGTCTTAGGTGACCTATGTATGAATAATACATTAAAAACAAGCATTGAATGGGTTTTTTTGTCTCTTTCTAATAAGGTAGGTATGATTTTGCACACAGTTGTAAAATTCATACGTAATATAAAAAAAAAACTATATAACGGCCTTGGTCGCAAGTTGGACCGGTTCAAGAGAGTCATTAAAAATTAAAAAGTCTTTTTGATAAAAAATTGTGTTATAATAATTGAATTTTATTTAGAGTTTGTTTGTAAATGTTTGAATTTCTTTAAGGGGGCTTGCCTTTTTTGTATGGAAATAAAAATTCATTCAACTAAAACACAGGAAATATAAGGGGGAAGGGATCCCAACGAAACCGAATCTCTTAGTCAGGTTTTAGAGCTAAAACGCAAAGCTAGACCAATAAGATTATGGATTTTTCTATTTTGATCCGTTATGTTAAAAAGAACAAGAGTTAAGTTGAAATCATTTATTACACTATTACGGAAAAAACATTCAACAACATTTAGAAAAGATAAATAATCACGTGGAATCAGACGTTGTCATGTATCGTGTGATCGTATATGTGTTATTTATAATCACGGTCCATTGACCATTGTAGGAAATTGGAAAGCGTGCGTTCTATCACAACAGTTGAGGCAAATAATCATTGTGATATACATAAAGGTTCTAGGTTCGATTCTCAGCAAAGCCGTTTTGATATTTATATTATTCTAGATAGCGCGCGAGATATTACAACAGTTATGTTATTTAACTGTTGTGAAACTTTATGCTGAAGTAATAAATTTAATTCTGCTTTTATAATTTTTCCCTTTTTTAACTTGTATTTTTGTGGATCATATATACGCAGAACAAACAATCACAGCTGAATAGACAATTTGCATTTGTGATATAGTTATCATAATAATAATAGTTGTATCACAATAACAATAAAAATTTGATTAAGAACCAAAAATTGTATATTACTTCAAAACCAAAATGTCACAAAATAACCTACGGTGTACACATTACATAACATCACATAAATGTATCTTTGTGTTTTGGTTTCTGGTCTCTAGATATCTTGTCTCTCAGTGTCTTGTCTCTTGGTGTCTTGACATATAAAGACCTATGATTTTAAATAATCATACTTGCATTAGTAAAAAGACGTAGAAATTATAACATACAATTAATATATTATGAATAAAGAATAAAATACTTGTTAATTTTCACATATGCCTTCTTCATGATCGATTCGAATAGCATGCACAACATCTCCATCAACTTCATCATATGAGGTAGGAACACGTGTTGTGTAAGAAAGAGTGGGCAGAATATCAAAACTTTCATCACTAAGAAGAATGTATTTTCCTTAGAGAACGATTGACCATTTCCTCGATATGTTTGAAGAGTCGGACACATAGAAAACTTGTTTTACTTTAGAAGTCATGATGAATGGTTCGTTCATAAAATATGTCTTGCCAAGGTCAAACCGTGTGAATCATAAGTCATCAATGTGTACACCATTACTATTATTGGGAATCCACTTGCATTTAAATAAAGACACTTTGAAAATAACATAATCAATATTCCAAATCTCCCCAATGACACCATAGAACACGGTAGTTGCCAATATATGATTCTTATTTTTCAAACTAGAGAAATACATCGATTTGGCTTCAACCATAATCCCACTATTTTGCGTTGTACTACGATCATCTTTTGATTTTATATAAAAGGTATAATGATCAATGTCATATGCAGTCCAAGTTATGACATTAAATTTTGGCTCGTATGACAACCACTTAAGTATCTCGGATGCACTACGATCATTAGATACTCTTTTATTACAAAAATCTATGAATCCCTTGTTATGCTCTATCAACAACAACTTGTCGCTCATTCGGGGATATTTTTTCTTCAAAAGTCTTTTGTGAGTATCTATGTATGTTTGCACTTCATCAATATTTTTCAATATATAGAAATGTGCTTGAATAACTACATCTCGAGTCATGGACGTAACATTTTGACCTTGAATACCTCTTCTGTCTGTGTGATCAGTATGACGAGACTTTGGAATTCTTATAGAATATGCTTCCGACAAATAGTTTACACAAAACTCAACACCTTCTTCACTAATGTACCTTTAAACAATCAAAGCTTCCGATCGGTGATGATTCTTTGTATATCCTTTAAAGATCTTTATATCGCTCTATTGGAAACATCCATATTAAATAAATTGGACCACAAAATCTGATTTCTCTGACTAAATGAACAAGTAAGTGAACCATAATGTCAAAAAATGATGGAGGAAAATATATCTCCAATAGACACAAGATTATGGCAGCCTCATCGTCTAATTCATCTAAATTTTTTAAATCAATAAATTTATTACATATGACATTGAAGAATAAGTACGATCTGGTTATAGTTACTCTCACATTTTTTGTAAGATCCCATGGATAGCCAATGGTAGAAGTTGTTGCATCAATACATGACAATCATGATATTTCAAACCAATTAACTTGAGATCTTTCATTGATACAAATTTCTTTATGTTTGATGAGTAACCTTGGGGAACTTTGATACCATGCAAGCACTCGCAAAAAAATTTCTTTTCCTTTTTAGATAGAGTGTGACATGCTGGAGACAAATAAGTTCTATTTCCTCTATCTATCAAAGCCAATTGTTTTCATATACCTATCGCTTCCATATTGAGATGGGAAGCCTTACTATCTTTAGTCTTGCCTGTAATGTTTAAAAGTGTTCTAATCAAACTATCACACATTTTTCTCCACGTGCATCACATCAAGACAATATCTAACATCAAGACTTGACCAATATGGAAGATCAAAGAACACAAACCTCTTTTTCCATATATTTTCTCAACTGTCCCTTTTTCTTTTCCTATTTTTCTAAAGACAACATTAATGTGTTCTTGTCGTTGATAAAATTCATCCCTAGTTAAAGGTTTATGAGCCATATCAAACTCTTGCTCTCCATTAAAAGCCTTCTACAATCTACGATAAGGATAATCGGGTTTTAGAAATTTTTTATGCCCAAGGTAAACAGTCTTTTTTCTAAACTCAAGTTGGTGATAACAGATATCAGATTCACATATATGACACACTTTATGTCCTTTGATACTATATCCAACCAAATTACCATAAGCAGGAAAGTCATTGATTGCGCAAAATAACATTGCACATATCTTAAACTTTTCTCCAGAAATTCATCATCAACTTCAACATCTTTATCCCACAAAAGTCGTAAATCTTCAATTAATGGAGCAAGATAAATATCTATGTCGTTACCAGATTGTCGTGGTCTTGAAATCATCATACTAAACAAAATATACTTGCCCTTCATGATCAACCAACGAGATAGGTTGTAAATGGTGAGAAGAACAGGCCACAAAGAATGATTAGTGCTAAGATTACCAAAGAGGTTCATTCCATCAGTGGCAAGCCCAAACCTAAGGTTTCTTGGCTCAATTCCAAAATATGGAAACAATGAATCAATTTTCTTCCATTGCAACGAATCAGCTACATGGCAAGTGTTTCCATCATGTTTCCTTTCATTTGCATGTCATCTCATATTCTTTACATCATTTTAATTAGAAAAAAGTCTCTTAAATCGTGAAATTGTTGGCAAGTACCATAACACTTTGGTAGGAGAATGCTTTCTACTAACATTGTCATAGTTATTGTCATCACCATTATTGGCATTCAGCTTGTAACCTGACACACCATATTTCGGACATTGATACAAGTCTTTATACTCTTTCTTGTATAATATGCAATCATTAGGGAATGCACATATTTTGATATACTCCAAATCCATTGGACACAATATCTTATTGGCCTCATAAAAACGATATGACAAATTGTTATCTTCTAGTAACATTTGCTTTAGCATATTAAGTAATTTTGTGAAACTTTTATCCGGCCATCCATTTTTTGGCTTCAGATTAAACACCTTTAACACCACAGACAATCGTGTAAAACTTGTGCATCCCTTATATAAAGGAGTGTCTTTATCACTATATAAAGTATCATAAATATGAGCGTTCTTAAAATAAGATTCTACAATATCAAGGAGTATATCCTCTAGTTAATCATCCATATATTCATATTCATCTACTCTTTGGCTTTGTGATGCCTGACTTCCCTCTTTATCCACCTCACCAATGCTACGTTCATATTGTATAATTTTGACATATACCAACAACACATAGGTGATAGAATATTCCATCCTTTGTACCTTTACAGATATTCCTACATTTAACACAAGGACAATAAAATATATCATTATTATCGGAAAGATTTTTATCAGCGTATTCAAGGAATTCATGAAATCCATTCTCATAAACCGAACCTAATCTATCGACTTTCATCCAACTACGATCCATAACAACTTTTGAAATTTATACACGAATAATAATGTGAATGAAACACCAAAATCTAAACCAAAAATTAAAGCATATTCATAACAAAAATATAACTCTAAACCTTAAGTATATGAATATGCATCAGAACAACATAATATTTTTGTTCACTTCTATATCCAACAGAGTAGCTAACAAACGGCATATATATGAACCAAGAATAATGTACAACATTGAACACAAGAAAGGTATTCGAGGGAACAAATAAAACAACTAACAAACTGTATATATGAACCAAGAATAATATACCACATTGAACGAAAAAAGGATTGAAAACTGAAGATGAATAGTGTAATACCCCACTTTCCCACAATAGCAATTACATTAATATATATATCAGAGTCCATAAGCAGGATGTCACATACTTCAAATATTCATAAAGTTTAAAGTCACTTTATTACTTCTTTTATTCAAACATAATCAATTCGGCAACAGAATAATAAAATTAGTTCATTTCCATGTCATTACAACTTCAACAACAAATAAAACTCCACAAATGTGTGGTCTAACATAAGTCAAATGGAAGATACATAAAAAATGAAATAAAGCAAAACATAAAAAATATTCTCAATTCCCGTGTTACGTATCAGAGTGACCCCTACGACTCGATCAGGTAACACTCACTCCAAGCACTACTCGGGTACCTGATTATCTGTACTCCCAGGGGAGCACAGACACAACAATACACAAGGGGTGAGAATTTTATTCAATAAATATAAGGTAAATATCACATGCTAAGGAGTAGTAATCACATAATCCACACATCACACAGTACTTCGCAACATAACACATCATTCACGTAATACAACATCAATTCAAAATAATACAATGCAATGAGACCGACATCAACTCAATACATTTGGTACCATCAGGGCATAAGCCCTCATCACATATGCCAATTTTCACAATAACAGGGCATAAGCCCTCATCACAATGCCATTACAGGCCAACAACAGGGTACGAGCCCTCATCACTATGCAATATGTGACATCATATGCAACAATATAACTATACAACCACAAGGCATAAGCCTTTAATTTTCGCCAATAAAGGCCACCAAAAGAGTATAATCCCTCACCATACATGCAACCATGCAACATCATCGTATCACACTTAATCAAACATTACAACAACATTTCAACAACATAGTGTCATAGTATCACAATCCACTACGCATATTATCAATCTATCATGAACATTCCACAACAACAACATTTCAAAATATAACATCATAGTATTACAACATAGTATCATAGCATCACATCAACTAAGCACATTAGCAATTCATCATCAATATTCAATAGCAACAGCAACATGATATCACTCTACTCAAAACGACACTCTTCATTACACATTATAATCAATTCACCCAAAGTCCCATGTTTTAAACTTAATTTATTATTATTACTAGCCTTCTTAAGTCCACCTGAGCCTTAGTAGTCA